AGATAAAATGACTGTTGCAGTACATTTCTAAACCTACTTTAACTTTACCTCAGATAATGACCATTTGTTAACATATACGGACACATTATTTTTAACTTTATGTATAATGCATTCAGCAACAACGACGACAAAAAAAAAAACAAAAAACAAATTTTTAGAAATTTTCCATTAATTTCTGTAACACACCATGTAATACTGTTATGAATAAAAACATTTTAAAAAGGTGTCATTTCAGTAAGTTTGTTTCGTAGCTTTTGCTCTTCCTTGAAAATCCTGCCGTTTGTACAGCACGACTGTCGTAGCCAGTAGTTTTGATGGCTATGAGCATCTTGGACAGGAGAAAAAGAAGCACCTCACTATGGGTAATATCTAATCTCAAACAGCCCAGGTGTTGCTTTTCTTGCAGAGGTGAGGAATAATAACGTTTTTGCTAAGGAAGGTAAATATGGAAGATTTACCCTGAAATTTCAATGTGCGTTATGCCTATATGCAAGAAGAGAAAGTAAGTATGCACATGTATTTTACTGTACTTTTTCTCCTTTCTGCCCCATCCCTTTCTCATCTGCCCCAATTGTCCAACAGGTCATGCTGCTGCATTCATTAAGGGCTACTGCAACCTAAGCAGAGTTGGAGTCTGTTGATTGTATGTAAAAATACCCAACTCAAACGTAACTGGTTGAAGAAACAATCCCAATTTACCTAAAGATAATGAAGGCCATGATCTCCTGCAGTGATGAGAACATGTTTAGCAGTCAATTTTCAGGATCAGCCTGCGGTTTTGCAGAAGCAAGGACTCAAACAGAACTCTTTTTCCCATGTCAGCATCTTCTGGGAAAGCAGTTGTGTAGGCTGGGAACACACAACAACCTCAACTGGTGTACACTGGATTGAAGGTGATGTTTCATCCTTCGTTTTCCTATTTCCTTCCTTGTTTATTTTCTTTCTAAAGAACTCCTGTCCTATCAGGTTCATATTTATTAGTTTTTGGGCAAATATTGTCCTCAGTCAGAAGAATGTCATTTCAAAGCAGTGATAGGAGGTGAAGAGGATGATTGTTATCATTTGTGCTGCAGAGTTGCCTCTCTAAGCCAACAGTGGAAACACACAGTGGTAAATGAACAAAGTGGAATTCCATATAGCTACTAAAAAGTGCATTTCTGGATTGAATGTGTGAGTCTGAGCCATCTATTCTGCTTGAGCATCTGTGCTGTGTTACTGACTCTGTCTGTATGTTGCATGCCATGCTTGTGGCTTCGTATTCTTCTCCTACATGGGAAATAAGTCAGACTTTTACCCTGCTCCTGGCTGTGCTCTCATGGTAATACGACAAATATCATCATCTGTAAGTTATTTTGTGAACTCTCTTGGGACAAGGTCTTCCACAAGCTGGTCTTCTCAGATATATTCACTATTTAGGATGAGGCCCATCGAGAGCCTTTTTTGAATGCCAAGGATAAAGCAGAGAGCTGACATGGGGAAGCAAAAAGAGTGATTAATTTTTTCCCTTTCTTCTCTTACTGTATCAGAGTGTGTGGAAACCAAATTATACATTTCAGCATGACATTGAGGAATATGGGGAGATATCCTGATACGATTTCCTGATTACTGTAATGTTGGCTGTCTCTTTCTAAAATAATCCTACAAGAGGCAGGAAATAGCAGGTCTATTAGTGAAACAATTGTCCAGCTATTAGTTTTTAGAGCTTTAAATAGTCTTATCTCAATGCACGTATTTGCCATGCGGCTCATCTATCACCCCTAAAATGTTTTATCAGCACCTGAAAAATCTCTGCAAGAAGAATAGCTTCAAATGTTACCCAATCAAGTGGTTTTCAGATATAGAGTGTGTTTTTTTTTTTTTTAAAGGTCTTTTAAGACCTGATGCAATTTGCCAGCTTTTCAGTCCCATTTCGTAGCTCCCGCAGCACCACTTATATGAATAGTCCTAAGCAGAATAGAATGGATATCACAGTAGATTAAAAGAAAAACATGTTAACAGGCAGCAAATCAATGTCCATTCAGCCCCAGACATTTGTGAAAATAAAGGGTTATGAAGAATTATCGCCAGGTACCAGCAAAGTAAAGCTTCTTTGGCATCACTGTGCTCCTTAACAGCAGTTGGTTGATGGGGGCTTGAGAAGGGCTCTACGTCAAAGCATGTCGTGTTAGAAATAAGCAGATGTTGTAAGGTGCTGCAATTTATTGTGAATTTTCTATTATTTGGCATATTTTGATTATGAGTCGAGTTTTTTCTTCAAAAAACACTGAGTTTCTAGTTTGAAAGTGAGTTTGGCTGTGCATGATCTTGCAATCTGATGGAGATGGACTGGAGACAAGGGATGCGGGCATGATGGTTTTTCTTCCATTGCCTACTTGATGCTGGATCCACTCCCTTGAAGTCTTCACAAGATCCTAGAATTGGAGCTTTCGGTGTAGATGTACCTGTAACTAGTTCAGACTGAGTCACTGTTTTTACTCTGTTTTTAGTCAGTCAAAAGGCAGTAAAGGGCAATAAACTCAACAAGGTGATTTATTTGTATCCAGGGCTTTTTGGATTCCAGCTTCACCGCCAGAAAACGGCTGTTAGTAACAAAAATGGCAATGCAGCAAAGTCAGTTGTAAGTGAATGCTGTAAGTGTCCCTTTGGCTCTGTTATTTGTAAACTTTGTCATGCATTTGCCACCTTATGCTCCTCCCCACTAAAATCTATGGGAGAGCCCCCATCTGGAATGAGCCAGCTGTGTTCTTCTGCAGAAGGAAATATATTGTGAGTTATGAAGCAGGGAGCGAAAAGATTTTCTCAGAGAAGGAGAAATAGAAGCTCTTTTTGACCACTAACTGCAGCATAAACAGCTTCTTGCTCCCGTCTGACCTTTCCCACGGAGGGCCTTTCATCACCGATATGTTTCAGAGCTTTTCTTTGGGCAGAAAGCTGCCATTTAAAAAGAATTGCCTTTGGTGAAACTGTATGGGTTTTATTTACAGGAGCGAGGGGTTACAAACTCTACGCTGGTATTATGAACCCTGCAAAGGATACATTGCACTTGAGAGCTCGGCGTTCATGATGGACACTTAGCGAGTCTTCATTTTCAAATGTGATAAAACCCATGTTCAGTGACTTAGAGCTCCACGAGGGCTAAGTGCTTTGAGACTTAAAAAAACAGCTCAGCAGGCAGCCTGGCTGTTACAGCCAGCGGTGAGGAAGGAGCTGAATTGTGGAGAGAGGATGTGGGCAGTGTTAGAAGGTGACGTTGCCCCACAGATCAATGGAGGTGGGAAACCTGCGTTTGTTGCCCTCATGGAATTTGGAAACTCTGCTCGTGCCATTCAGTTTTCATTGAAAAAAAAATATGTTAACATGCAGGAAATTCCTCCTTGGTCTCTGCCTACTTAATGCCTTTCTGCTAATTGAGGAACAGAGATGAGCAGCATGGCAGCAAGCAGGAATAATCTCCATGCACTGCGAGACATGGTTTGTAGTAAAATCTAGAGTGTGCTCTGTGCTTATGATCACAGCTTCTCTTTTGCTGCTGTAGAAATATTGGATGTGCAGTACATTTCTGAGCAATGTCCTGTGGATGGGGAGGTCTTTCCTGTAAGTAAGTGATGGTGAGGGTTTTTTTTTTGTTGTTTGTAAATAATTAACAGTTAAGTCAATTGTGTCAAAGGTTAAGCTAGCTGTATCAGATAGGCACATCTTGCTTTAATCTGGGGGCAAAGTCATTTAACACAAAAAAAATAAGGCCAAAAAGGCAAACAAAAAGCTTTGCTTGCTCTCAGCCATCTTTTCTGCTGGTTCAGTCTCCATGTGTGGAGATGAAAGAGCTGCTGGTCACTGACTGCCTGTTCAGTGACATTCAGTGGGAAACCTCAGCCTGCAATGGAATCTTTCTGTTCTGATGACCGTCCTACAAGGGATCAGTTTGCATCCTCCCCTCTGTCAGGTCATCATCACCAAGTTGCCAAACTAAAAGCCACTTGTTTGTTTCTCAGAGTCGGTGCCATCTGTGAGATCGGTGTGATACATTAAGAGGTGTCACAGTTGCCCGGGTCATTACATTGAGATTGGTTTTGAATTGTGTCAGTGAATATGATTGATTTCATATACAGCATCCATCATTCCCATAATGAGCGAATTCAAATGGATTTATTCCTTGTGTCGTTGAAGCACTGAGCCTTGGCCCAGAGTGCTCAGTGCAAGACTGTCTCCTCGAGAACATCTGCTTTCCCAGAAAGCACAACGGAATGTAATATTTTGTGCAAGCAAATGCCATTTTGCAGAGCTTTTCTGCCTCTGTGATGCTTGTGGCAGGTTAAAACAAATGAGGGCAATAAGAGGAAGGCTGTTCTGCTTCAAGAATCAAAGAGCTGTACTCAAAGTGAGAAGCAGGAGACTGAAGGCTGCCTTAACAGACAAACGAAGAAAAAATTGGTGAGCTTTTGAGGATCCTCATCCAGAAGCATGGCTTGGTGAGTTCTCTGTCCTGGCTATGCTATTGAAGTCAATACCCCCTCAAGTCTCTTGCCCGTGGCCTCAGGACTTTGGGCATTCTTAGAAAGGGCCCAAGTTTTAGTCTGAAAGAAAACTGAGCTGCCGTGCAGGCAGAGGAATTCCCAGCCTTCCTCTGAGAGACAAACCAGTGTTCAAAAGCAGAAATAAATACTTAATTTTGCAGTTTGTTCCTAGAGAGCTGACTTCATTTCCCTTATTGCTTCCTCCTTGCCAAGTCTTGAGTATTCCATTTCATTCGTTGAAATATTCATTTGTTTCTGCCTCCTGAAAGAAGTGTTAAAAATGAAAGTTGAAATTGCTTCTGGCCAGCTCCTTGCTTTCTTCCCCTTTGCCTGCAGAAAGCTGTGCACTAACGATTACATAGTTTACCTTGCACCTCTGCCAACTGCTGGCTCATCTGCTCTTTACTGCGTGGGGGAACAACCCAGTTTGTTTCCAAATCCTCCAGTACAGAACTGGAGCTGTGCTGGTTTCGACCCGCTGATGGGATGGTGGCATGATGACTGTGGCATGGATGGCGTTTACTCCGTGCCCCATCAAACTGCTGCTGCTTTGTGCTGCACTCTGCTTCCTAAATGTTCGTTGCTTCAGGTAAGCAAGCATTTTCAAAGAGATGTCCTTGGGGTGATAGGATAAATAGTGAAAATCAGGACCGACGGCTTTGTATGGAAAATAATTGCTGTCCTGAGCTATTTCTTTGTTTGTAATGAATAGCAAAAGCAGTGTTCTGAAGTGAATGTAATGCAGTGTGTCTGACTGTGGATAAGTCATCTGATGAATTTAATAGGACAGATTGCCCCAGTCATGTTGTAAGGTGGAGTTGTGCTTGCGGTGTGCAGCGTCCCAACATTCAAGCTGCCCAACAGTATCCTCAAAAGGTTTCATTGTCTTTGAGTATGTAAATGGTAAAAATCTGGTCGTACTTGCATCTCGCTCTTTCAGCTTAACAGTTTTTTTGCTTTTTCACAGGGCTGCAGTTGATCAGTTTCTGATATTTCCAATCTAATGAAATTATTTCCACTGTTCTCTGAACTTTGAGCTTTGATTTCATGCCTTTGTGAGCTGATGAGTTTTTTGTAATTCCTTTACTCCATGTGATTTTTAACATGCAGAAACGGGAGCCCCTTGTCAGGCACTAGGTCATGCTCAAAGCTTCAGCTGGTGGTATCCCTTGTGTTGGAGGAACAGGAACACAATGGGGGCAACTTGTTTGTCAAACTGGGCATGAAAGGAAACTCACTGCCTATGTTTTCCCTCTTAGATAGGCAGTACAACGAAGCATTTATCTGGGATGAGCATTTAATTAGAAATAGTCAATCTGGCTGAAAGATGAGGCAACATTTTGGCTACAGTATCATGGAAACCATGGAGACAGCTCTTGCAGTGGGGCGAGAATGGCTGGGGGAAGAGTGGAGGCTCACAACTGGGGTTCATGTGAATTATGGGGATGAATGGGATGAGTGATTTAATGTCTCTCTATTATGTACTGACAATAGTGTCTAAGGCTAACGGTTTTGCCCAGCTTGAGAAAAGATTGTCTGCTTGGCAAGGGGAGGCCCTTAAGCCTAGCTGTCAGAAGTGCAGAGTGCATGCAGGACCTTTGCATTGTGATTGGTGTTTGTGGCGTGCCTGGCCGTGGAGCTGCATATGGTTGTTCTCTAGGGCTCACGCTTGAGATGTGGCCCAGCTTGTTGGGATGTTGGTTGTGTTTCCCATGATGGTTATAGAGTTTTGGGTGGCCAAGCCGTTCTGGCCTCACAGCTCGATGGCTCTACACTCTGAAGCTCTCATGTTGTTGAACACAGCAGTGGAACAGAATCCCTTGGGCTGATCAGCACCAGCAGCAGACAGGCCCGGTCTGCACGCGACCCACCCCAGCCCCGCGACTGCGTGCTCTCCCCTTGGTCCTCGTGGAGCAAATGTGATCCCTGCCAGAAGAAAAGGGTGAGTGCCTGAGGAGCCCCATCCTCACTAATAGTCCCCTATGGGATCCAGAGGCACGCGGTGCCTCTCAGGATTAAGATGCTTTTCCTTGTCTGCCAATGAGCGTTCCCTACCCAAGAAGCCACATCAAACAAAAGTAATGACCCCAGGAGTGTGAACATCAAAATCCCCATTGCTGGAGGGACCTCTGTTAATGAGCTGGAGAAGCCATTCCCAGGCTTAACCAGGGATAAGTGGTGATGTGGGCTGGGAAGAACGAAGCTTCGTTTCAAAGAGTTAATCTCAAAAGCTGGGGAAAAAGAAGGAGGGCTAACATATTGGACGGAGTAATTGACTGCTTCACAGCAGTGTTGTGGGCGGAAAAAATCCCTAATGATACAGAGGGCCAAGTAAATACACTGACAGAAAATAACAAGGGATGTTGTTACCAGCGCTAATTGAAAGAGAGGAGATGTAACCGAATCCTTCCTTACTCTTGCAGATGCCCACACTGCGCTGTCAGGCACATTTAAACAAACTGTCAGATAAAAGCAAACTTTCTGTCATCCCTTCCAATTCCCAGTCCTTGCTTAGTAAAATTGAAACTATCCCAGATTAGAAATGTTTGAAATGAGGTACGTTACCAGCATAACTCTTCTTTGCCTCCACTTTTTAATCACACTGTTTTTAGATCTCCACCAGCTTTTTTTTTAACTGGGGAATCAAAAAAAAATCATCATTTCTGTGCACTTGAGTCAATATTTTTTTTATTTCATCACAGTACAGATTTGCCCGCCTGGAACAACCTTCTCAGTTCAATGGAGAGCCGTGTGATTACGCCGACAACGAAAGCGAAGACTGCGTTACCAATAATCCTTGCAGAAATAAAGTCAGATGTGAAGGTTTTGTGTGTGCAGTTACAGGTAAGGGCTTATTGAGGGAGGAATGATGGTGTGTACGTGATGTCTCTGTCTCCCCCACGCTAAACTTTCTCCTACAACAGTTGGCAGGGCTGTAGGATGTCCATCCATTGCTGTTTTACATTTGCATTTATGAGTTTGAGTGACTATTAGCCATCAGTCAGTCTACAACAGGCTTTCAGCAAGCTTGACCAAATGGAATATGGTGATTAGAAATGAGTCTGCATGAACCTTATGTTGCATTATTTTGTTTTGTTGTATTTCTGTACTCTGCATTAAGGGACTGTGATTTTGCAGTATTGCCTGTAAGCATGATAATAAATAGTTTTCTGAGCAAGGTTCTCATTGGTTTCTAGGGAGATGCATTGCACGGAGGCTGCTTTGTAATGGAGATGATGACTGTGGAGACCAGTCAGATGAAAAGAATTGCAAAAAAGTGTTTAGAAAATGTGACCAGAAGATGGAGCAATACTGGGGAATAGAGAATCTGGCAAAAGGGTAAGTTGGTGATCTTTATGAGGTATTTTCTTACTAAAGGGTAATGGCTTCTGACATAGACATGGAACAGAGAAAAGCATTAGCAATTGCTGTATCCAGGAGTTCCAGTCAGACTGCCTTTGATGTCTTGATCCAAAGCCTAGTGAGAAATCCTTATCGAGTCCATGAGTCTTTCCAGGAGAGCTTTGTATTGCCAAAACTTGGGAGTGGAGAGTGAGGTACAAATCCAAACACTTCTTTCATGTCTCCATAAAGAGACCGTGAGTGGGAATGATTCAATCTTCCAGTTATTTTGCATGAGTGATTTAAACCAGCACGTTGTATTGCCTAAAATCTGTGCTTGTCTGTGGATTTGTGTTTTTGCACAGCGTATTGGTTTTGGTGGGTCAAAACGTTGTGGATTTCTTCCATGAAACTGGAAGGTGGTGGAACTTCTGTCCTTTGCCTGGGTAGTTACAAACCCCAGCTTGGAGGGGATTCTAATCTGTGTCTGGATTGATCCAGCTTTTATGGCTAAGACTGTGGCAACTTCTTGTAATGTCACAGTGTGTGAAAAGAATCTTTTCTTACTCTGCAGGAAAAAAAAAAAATGCTTTTTACTTTGAAAAAAATAAGAAAAGAAATCATACTGTAGGAAAAAATAATAATTTCCTACTCAGTCTCAGGAGATATGGCTGCTGTGCACGTCATTGCTAATGCTTTGTACTTCTGAGTTTAATCAAAATTAAAAATAATGTCGGACAATTACAGGAACATGCTTCTCGTCTCTTTGAAGCTGCAATTGCTCAGTAATTTGCTTTTAGTGGACTTCCCTCCTTTTCAGTTTGTTCTAAAATCAGAGTTAATATTTTACAGCTTCAGTGTCATTACCGTGCAAGACTCTCTCCCCAAAAGAAGGAGAGGCAGATCTAGCAGAGGCTTTGCTTGTTAGGCATTCAGTTTTTCTCTGGAGGAATGGGGTTGATCGACCAGTGGAGGAGGCAGAGCTTTCTGTTGGGGTTTCAGAATAAAGAAGTTTGCAACAAAGAACCATCAGCCAAAAAGAAAAAAAACAACAAACCCTTTTGCATTTCTTATCCAAGCTATTTGCTGAGTAGCGCCGAATCAGTCCTAAACATTATTCTGCCGTTATGCTTCATATGCAGGTTAAATATCATCACAAAAAACTTGGAAGGATTAGTTCTTGATCACAGGTACTATGCTGGGGGATGTTCTCCCCATTACATTGCGGACATGAGATTCAGAAAACCATACAATGTAGAAAGCTATACACCAGAGGTATGTGTCATATCCTTCTGTAGATAAGCATACGTATGTTCCACTGAATTTGCTGCATAATACTGATAAAGCTTCATTACTAAATGGTTTTATAAAGAATTACAAAACTCCTGAGATCAAATGGATGAGAATGCGTTCAACCCAACTTCCAGAATATCAGCATACTGCATGCATTAAAAGGACTTGGAGCAGCACCCATGCATTAAGATCCATGTGCACTGGAATAGATGGCAAATTTCCCACAGACCTTCCTATTACAAAATCTGAGCATAATATTTTTTGAGTGTTGTCTATTAGGAAACCATTTCCTCTAAGGGTTTCTACTCTTATCAATGCCTATGCTTCACCTTCTTTGCATAAGATTGACGTATTAAGCAGTAGGCTCAGATCCTCATAGTATGGAGGAGATGGTAGCTTCTCTACTGCTGTAAATCAGCTCTTCCTGAAGTAGTAGTGTTAATAATAACAGTGCTTTGCAATTATACAAGGCTTTTCATCTTCAAAGTGCAAGCATTAATTCACAAGTATATTTGTAGCTGCTCTCCCTTCCCGTGCTTCAGGTGTGCATTCACTGTGCAGAAAATAAAATGTATTGTTTTTGCTTTCTGTTTAGACCAAAGGCAAATATGAATTTACAATGACTGAATATGACTCCTACTCAAATTATGAAAGCAGTGTCCTGAAGGCAGAAGCTTCGCAGTCAAGCTTCAGCATTGGTATAAGCATACCCAGTCTGTTTGAAATTGGTTACAACAATAACGACAACAGGTTCAAGAAGTTCATTCAAAGGATGAAAAGATTTTCTTCAACAGTAAGCCCTGCTCTACTTAAATCTCTTCTCACACATTTTCTGTATCTGTGTGTGTATTGATTTCATCCCCATCGTCAGGTCGGCAGCCACGACTGCGATAAATGAAGTCTTTCCCTCTGATTGGATTTTGCAGTTTTTATTGGTCAAACGTTTACTGGGGCCACAGCACCTTGGTTTGTGTTTGCAACCAAACACAGCTTTTCCATTCACAGATCTGCCTGGAATCAAGCTGCCTAACCCTTACAGTCAGCCACAGTTGCACACAGTCTGTCCAGTTAGTGCTGGCCATCCACATTTGGCTGTTTGTATTGAAATCACAATGAAAAGAAGGAGCAGTGCAAAATGCAGACATCCTCTCCTCCCTCCAGCCATCTCACTAGTAGATGCACAAACAGGACTGCAAGCAGAGTTTCCACGCTGCACACCAGCAGTGGGATGCTACACATGTTGATTCTCTAGCCATTAAAAAGTTCGTACAGCATCAGACCCAGAAATCACAAACCAACGCTCACAGTTTTGTTTTGCCTATTTGGATATTTTCCTTTCATCAAAAGAGTGTAAACCAGGATGCTGATGACAGCATGCATGGATGTGTGCAGCACTGGTACTGATGTCTGGGCGATAGGAGGTGGATGGGTGCAACCATGAGATCCTGCACCGATCAAGCTGTGGTTTAGCTAATGAAGCCCAGAGTTCCCTGCCTTGTGGTGAGGTATGCTGAGTAATGGGGTAACGTTGAGGACAAAAAGGATTTTCTGCAGTTCTGGGATTTCTGTACCTGTAAGCAGTCCAGACACCAGTCAGTGTGTGGACAGCTGCCCAATGCCATCGCACGTGAAGGGCTGTTCCTCTTTTAGGTGGGTTCAGCAAGGCAGGAGCTGCAACTTGGTTGAATGGTAATTCAAGCAGCAAAGCCACGCTATCCTACTATAGGGCAGCCTTGACAATAATGTGGAATGAAAACTGCTGGCAGGCCTTCTGTGAGCTTAACTATAGACTAACAGATGCCATTTGACTTGGGTTGATGCGATCTATCCACTGAATCCATCATTCATCAGATGAGGACACACACAGTACAAAATAAGGATGGCACCATCACTTCCAGTCTCATCTTCAGAGATGTGGTCACAGCTGTGATCTGATGCACGCTTTAAGCTGGCTGGAAATGCTTTAATCTGTAACTCGTAGGGCTGTTTTATGAGATTCATTCAGAGCTAGTGTGCAACATCATTTGATTTCTTCTTTTCATCTGTTATTGCTGTAAACAAACCTAGCTCTTGTCAGTGGTTTAATAGTACTGCTGATCTATGTCTCTCCCCTCAGTATACAGTGCAGTCGGCAATGGCAGAGCATTCCTTGTTTCTATTAAACTTGCACTTGCTTCCTGCAAAGTGACATTTCCCATGACAAGATCAGAGGTGTATGAGAAGCATTGGTAATAGATATCCAGGAAGAACGCCAGTGCTAAGTCTTGGTTTTATTATTTAAGCTCTAGTGTTCTATGTTGAAATGCCCTTGATGTGTTTGTCATGCTGGTCCAAACAACTTGGCACAAAATCCTTGGGACACGACAGATGACATTTTTAACAGAAAAGGGAGATACAATATATGCCCACGCATACATATTTTTATAAATACCTATAAATATGTGTTTCTTGTGTTTCTGCATGCCATGTAGTCCAGCAAATTCCTCCACGCCCGTTCTGAGCTGACCGTGGCTGTTTATAAGCTGAAGACCAGAGCCCTGATGCTGCATTATGAGTTTCTGCAGAGACTCCATCAGCTCCCATTGGAGTACAGCTATGGGGAGTACAGAGAGCTGTACCGAGACTATGGGACGCATTACATCACTGAGGCTACTGTTGGTGGCATCTATGAATACACTTTAGTCCTGAACAGCAATGAGCTCCAGAAGGCAGGTACGTGCATCTGAAGCTTGTGAAAGGCTTTTGGGCCAGACCTACCTTTTCAGTAGGAAAGCCCTCTGCGTGAACCAAGACCTGAGGAAAGAAGAGATGGCGCTAGAAGGAGCCAGCAGCATCTCCAAGAAAAATAGGGGATTAAAAGTGTTTCACAGCATTGAGTAAATGGGACTGCTTTTCAAAGCATGCTCAGCATCACGGGCTCCATCTAGCTCTCAAGTTGTGGATGCTGCCAGTTCACAGCAAGGGCCCTGTGGCAAGTGTTTCAGACTACATATTCTGGGGGCTGACACGATGTTGAGATGAATGAGAGCCGTGTAGCTTAGCACTTCTGCTAGCTTTGAAACCTTTGCCTGAGTTCTTTTTCTGTTGCCTTTCAAATGATGGTTCTGAAGCACCTTTAGCCTCGAGAGCTTTTCCAGCATGTAAGAAACAGTAAATAATTTGCTGGGTGACTCTTGTGCCTGACATTGCTCTTGCTCTTTGACTCCGGCTTCCTTTTTTTTTTTTGCAAGAAATGATGATTGTTGCATGGGATAGAAAGAGCTGTGTGACATTAATCAATAGCTGCACTCTCTTATTTATTCATTGGCATGGAAGTGAGGAACTGCCTTCGTTGTCTATTTGTGAAAGCATTTAATGGACTGCTGTGTGCAACACTCTTTTGGCTCTGTTTGCTCTTCTGCTGGCTTGGAGGTTGCTGGCTTTTGTTATAGGCAGATATGTCCCATTGGGACAGACTTTAGATTCAGAATTTACATGAAGAAACTTCCATGAAACAATTAAGGCTGTTCTGGCAGGAAAGAACTAGAGACATGAGCTGGCAAATGGGGAGAAAAGCTACTTGAAGCATTACCCCTAACAAACCTGGCTCGTGATGGAGGGGATGGATGGGACGTAGTCCTTTGGCACAGATGTTTTAAGTCACAGATCAGGCTCCCACCTGCTGCTGCTCCACACAGCCCAGTGCAGCTGAGCTGATTGTTACAGCCCTCTCCTTTCAGCATCCACCTGGCATTTGCACCTTGTTTTAGAGTTCTGTGAACCATGGACTCATTTCATACCAATCTGCTAATTATCCCAAAGAAGGCTTCATCTTGTCATTTTTTCCTTCATATATTTTTTTCAACTTTTATTTTCTGCATATAAGGACACGGGGGAAAAAAATGTTTTATTGAAACACTGCAATGTTTTGTTGTTCATTTAAAGGTTTTTCTATGAGCGACGTCCAGAAATGCGCACAGCACGGCTTTAAAGTCGGTGGAACAATTAAAGGTGTCTCTCTGATTCTTGGAATAAATGTAGAAGGCTGTAAATCCCTTTTAAAAGAGATTGGAGGTAAGTGTGAAACACTTGTGTGATTTCATTTCTAACCAACGTCGTTGCGAAAAGAACATCTCATAACATTGCCTGGTGGATGGATTTCCTCCCTGATGGTGGAGAGGAGCTTTGGGCAGTGGAAGGACCTGCAGGCATCATTGCTGCATGCTGGAGGGATGGGGATGGAAAAAGAGGTTGGGAGTGTTGCTGCAAGGGAGCAGGAAGAGCACAGGACATGCAGTGTAGGAGACCATGCATCAGGTTTGCAGCACCTGTGGCCTTTCTCTTCCCAGCTCCCACTCTCTAAATGTATTTTTTTTGCAGACAGCACCTCCAAAAAGCAGTATGTGGAAGACTTCATCGCCCTTGTTCGTGGGGGAGCAAGTGAACACATTACTGCATTGGCTAACAAAGGCCTGCCGACAGCCTCGCTGATGCAGGAGTGGGGGGATGCTGTGCAGTACAACCCTGAGATCATAAAGCTGAAGGTACTGTGTTCAGCCTCACTTAGCTCAGTGTCTTTGAAAGCAGTGTGTTCAGAGAAATGAGAATTATTTTTTTTTCTGAAGGGCCATTTTTAGGGCTATGAATAGAACTGCGTTGGTATCGTTGCTCTGAGGATGGGTGCTCAGAAAATCCGAGTTGTGATGCATTAAAAAGGGCGATGTTGTTGGAAGTGAGTGAAGTCAACAGCTTTTCCTCCTTCAAACTTGGCTATGCCAATGTGATCTCTTACTGCCTATCCATTTTCTGCTTTGCCAGTGTATCCCTTAGCTAAAGCATGACTGGCAACATATACTTTATAAGGACTTCTTTTTCTTGAAATTTGAACAGTGGTTGGGAGATGCCCTGGTACCTGGCTGATGCTGCAGTGTGTTTGCCTTCCCCAAGCCACTGTTGCCCTGTGGGTGAACCTTCCAGAAAGGTGCTAGGAAGTCTCCCAGAAGGAGACAATGTAAATGCAATGCTCTGCACTTCCAGAAAGTTCACCCACAATAAACTGTGATGTCCTTTGCCTTGCCTGGCATCAGTGGCCAGGCAGCCCAGTGATTTGATTTGGTATCTCTAAGCCTTCATTTACATAGTGGTATCCCTGTGGGGCTCAGAGATCAAAAATATCAGCAGACTGTGACTAAATGTCAGCCTGGGAATGCTTAGTTAGGGAAAACTAAAGCAAAACAGTTCATAAATCATCTGCAGAAAGGCCTTGGCAGGTCACTCTCAGTATATTTCCGTGTTTGTATGAGCTGAAGTCCAAAAGTGAAGTATGGATCACAGATAATTGATGAGGAGAGAATGTACAGCAGCAGGAGATGAGCATTCTTTATTGATGCTTTCTCTTCTTTCTAGTAGCTTGAGACTGTAATAGCAACTCGGGGATCGTTCCTGCTATTGCTGTATGGCAGTGGCAGGTATCCCTATAGCAGAGTTGGGAATTTGGGATGGGTCCACTGGTGTGAGAGTGGATGACTGCCAATCTGTAGGGCACATTGAACTTCCCCTTGCTCTTTAAAAAGATATGAGCAGGTCAAAGTCTCCTTGATTACTGCAGCACGTTCATTGTGCTGCCATATCCTTTACCACTGATCCCATCTGCAGTGGCTGCATTTGGAGATCACAGTCCTCTCTTTTTTGAAGGCTGGGAGACCTGTATTTTGGCTTCATAAAGAGAAAAATCAGCCTTGAAATGCAGAGGTGATTATACTTAAAGTACAAACATGAATGCCTGAGGATGAGGAATGAGGGAGATTTCTCTGGGTGGCTTTGGGGGATCCTTTTTAAACTGGAGCGAGGGAAAGTAGTTTTGAGCAAATTAACAAAATATCAACATCAGGGAAATGGTAAGAAGGCATTTAATGGAACTTTCCAAGCAGCTGTTGGGCTTTTGAATCTCCTTCTGCGTTTACAAGTTTGTTGGTATTGCAAACCAAGACCCCTGCAAGTATTCCTGACTGTGCTGCCATGCTGTTTACTAGGTTTAAAGAAATTCTAATGGGAAGCCTGGGGCATGTACCAAAAGGCCCTCATTTCCCTCACCAGCCGTGCTCCCATTGAGCCACAACATGCTCACACCATCTTGAGTGTTGAGTGCTGCTTCTTTCATCCCTTTAGGTACAGCCGCTGTATCAGCTGGTGACTCCAGCTGACTTTGCTAATGCAATGACAATAAAAGAAAATCTGCGCCGGGCTCTTGATGAGTTTCAGCTGGAGACCAGTTCCTGTCGCTGTGCCCCATGCCAGGGCAATGGGATCCCAGTTTTGAAAGGTAGGAGTGTATCCTACAACGCTTCTCTAGGCTCTGGCAGCAGTGAGCAGGGAATCTTTGGGAGGAAGGAGGCTGAGCAAGTCATCAGCTCTTCGGTTGTTCCTGTCAGATTCTTTTAAAATGGGTTTTTGGAAGATCACTGAAATGTAGAATGGTTTGGGTTGGAAGGGACCTTTAAATCATCTTGTTCCAACCCCCCTGTTATAGGCAGGGACACCTCCCACTGGTTGGTCTCTATTTGTAGAATGCCTCTCTTTAGTCAACACAGTAGAGTCACAGGATGCACCTTTTTAATGGAAGGGTTTATCTGCAACAGTTCCATGCAAAATTTTGCTCCTGTCTCAATTGTGTATTTAAAAAAAAAAAACACCTCTATCTCCTCCTTTGCTTTTAAGTTTGCTTTCACCACCCCAGAGAAATGACTACTGTCTCAGCATTAATTAGTGGTTGTTAAAGTGTTTTGAAGATGACCACGTAAGTGCCAAGCACAGTGAGCACCATCACCTCTCCATATTTCTAATAGAAGCTGTCCTCCTTTTGTAAGCAGGCTGTCATTTAAAAATGAGGGGGGAAAATAATCAAACTGAATGAAAACCGCCGCCTAACCAGAGATATAGGATGTGATGAGGGCTTCTAACACAGGGACCTTTTTTTTTTTTCAAGTGCCTAATTCCAATCTGCATGTGCAAAAGTCTTGATGAGAATCATTATCATCTAAATGTGTCTAAGGCAAAACGATTGCTTCAGGTACCTGCGAGCTGATTGTAGCACTTAAGGATTCATCTCATAATTACCCTTGGTTCAATAACTTCTCAGGATCAAGATCAGTTGGCTTTCATGTGGGGTCTTCTCAACGAGAGGCTTTTAATGACCATTATTTGCTCAAGTGGGAGCTCTCCTCTGGTCCTGGGAGGTCTGAGTGGGGTTAGGCAAGTGTTTCCTCTGCATAAGATGCACACTTTGTTCCTATCCAACCCTGCCATGAAATCTCTCTGCAGAGGGGCAGAGGACTTGCTGTGGCAGAAGCATAGTGCCGTTTCTTTGCTTTATTGCTGCTTTATGCTTTCCCCACCAGAGAAGCAAGCTGACATGATTTCACCACCTATCCCTTCCCTTGCAGCACCCAAAAGGTGTCTGCATGGAAATGTGACATGACTGAAGTCTGTAACCCCACCATCTCTGCTCTCTTTCAGGAACACAGTGTGAGTGCATCTGTCCCCTCAGCCACCGTGGCACAGCCTGTGAGACCCCCAGCAGGACAGGTGAGTGGGACCTGCAGGGCTGCCTGTGCTGCTGTCTCCACTCTGTCCAGCCCAGGGCATGAGATTAGGGACCTGCAGAGGGGGCAAACACCCATTGCCTGCATGCTCTTAAATTTCATTTTCTTTTCTTTGCACACACACTGAGTTGCCTTCACGGTGGTGAAGCACTGGAACAGGTTGCCCAAGGAGGTTGTGGATGCCCCATCCCTGGAGGCATTCAAGGCCAGGCTGGATGTGGCTCTGGGCAGCCTGGTCTGCTGGTTGGCGACCCTGCACATAGCAGGGGGTTGAAACTAGATGATCATTGTGGTCCTTTTCAACCCAGGCCATTCTATGATTCTATAAACTCCTGCCTAATTTACAATCCACATCAGGCCTCGGATTTCCTCCAGCAGTTCAATTTCCCAAGTTCTTCCCTTTGATACAGCCCATACGTTGCAAACTGTTTTTCTTTAGGTATGTTGCCACGCATTTTAATCTTAAAATGTTATTATGTTGTTTGGAAGCATTCTTGGTCGCTTTGTGTTGGCGCTGTCTCCTGACTGATGTTCTAACTCCTTCTAGTTTAGGATGGCCTGTGAATTTAATCATTTTGTTTACTTCTTCCAGCTCATTAATCTAGATGCTAAATAATGCTGGATCTCAGGCAGCCAGAGCTCTGGCACCATCCCACACTTTGCTGCACTGCATTTATCACCGCTCTTTGTTTACAGTCTTTTATCCAGTTCTCATTCTGCTTGACTGTGTCCTACCAAAGCCAGGCTGAAATGCATTGTAAGCCAAGATTACACCAAGCAAAGGGTCAATTTTGGAGGTGTTTCTAAGCCAGTCTGTTCAACCTTAAGCTGTGGAGTCACTTACACCTTGTTCCGGTCTGCTTAGCACACATGTAATCACATCTGACTCTCCCATAGACTCGCATCCATCCACTTGTCAGCGTAAAACTTTCTCATCTCACTCCCCTTTCCTTCTTTTCTGTGTTGCCCTTGTGTTCGGCTCCGTGATTCTCAGGATTTTGAAATTCTGTCACTCACGTGCTCAGGATCCAGAAGAAGACATTGTAATAGGAAAAGCAGTGGGTAGAAAGCTGAATATTCAAGCTGTTGTTCACTGAAGGAGAACGTGCTGACATTATCCCTAACAGCTCAAAATGTGACATGAGTTGAGTTGCTCTTTTCCTTAGTTGAGTTGGATGAGGTCAGGGAGAGAAACGCCCTATAACCAAAAATGAATCTGATTGATACATTTTTCTTGTCCTCGGTGTGCAAAATGTAGTTTGAACAAACACTGAACAGAAATACTGAACAGAGAAGAAAAGTACTGAAAAGTATTGCTGTTAATGACTCAAGTGTGTTGGTGATGGTGTGGATGGGGCAGAGCTGTTTGTATTTAAATATGATTCACAGAATCTGACAGCTCTCCCCATGGAAAGAGCTGCTTTATTCTGACAGTCCTCTCTGGCTTGGTTTTTATTTTCCAGATGCTGCTATTAATGGAAACTGGGGTTGCTGGGCCAGCTGGTCTCCGTGCTCAGGAGGTCAACAAACAAGGAGGCGGCAGTGCAACAACCCGGCACCGCGGAATGGTGGCACATCGTGTTCAGGGCCAGATGCTGAAACAGTTACTTGCTAGAGGGAAAACCATTAAGAACTCGGTGTACGCATAGTGACCAGCTTCCAAACTGAATGGGAAGGTGTTACCTGACTACCTTGCTAAGTTGGCTTTGCTCTGCTTGTCTTATCCCAGTGCATTCAGAAGGCATTGGTAGCATCGTAGCTTTGGACGTGCTTTGCAGTTGTCCCATGCTCTGATTGTGCTTACTGTTCTCTATAGTTTTTCTGTGTCTTTGTGGAAAATAGGGACAAGCTGCATCTCCTGCCTTATTTGGTAGAGATTGTTGCGTGATTTTAAGTTCTGCCGCTTTATTTTTGAAGGTTCCTTTGAGATAAGACTGATCTTACACCAGAATATGCACTCATATGCAGCTTCTGTGAAGACAGCTGTGTCACGTGGAGTGAAATACAGCATGTTAAAGTCTAAATCTCAGCGAGCACCGTAGTATCTAGTGTGACATTCAAAGCCACTACCCCAGTTTCCCTATTTATGGTATTTAACTTAAATTGTCTGTCGTATTAGAAGTTGTCTTGAAGGAGTGAAAACCAAATTGCGAGGCGCAGTCTGGTGACAGGGAGGTATTGTTATGTAACTGCACAGCAGTGCTACTCTCACTGCGGAGACACGCTTCCTCCTGTGCGTTCAGAAGTAGAACAGGCACACTGGGTGCACCCTGATGCACTCAGATACTCTTTCCTTGGAGAGGTCAGGGAAGGACAAAGGGATGCTACTGGGATGGGGAATGGGAAAGCAGCTGCTCCTTCTGCTGCTGCCTGGGGCTTTGGGAAGGCAGCAGAGATGACTGCTTCTCAGGTTAGGTCATCAGAGATGGAGAGGGTTTGCTATGAAATGAGACAAAGCAAAATGTGTGGTTTGCCCTTTGTTAGAGCATCCCTAAAGCCATGCATCACAACCCAGGTTCTACAAAAGAGGAACTTATGTCTCTGTGCACTGCTTTGTGATTCAACTGAGAACAAACGATCTGGGGACTTTCCTCCTGCAGCTTGTTTGGTAGTTAATGATTTTTACACAGACATTTGTTGGGGCATGCTATAAAATAACAAGAGAAGCTTTGCTTTGGGAAAACAGTGCAACCAGTGCACAGTCATTTGTGAGTGTTGTGAGTCTCCTAACATCAGCAAGGTCAAACACTTTTAGGAAGGCTTTTAAGGATGCTGGTGCTGATGGGTTGATATCACCAGTTTCTCTTCTTTCAGACTGATGTTGTCTAAATGCAATTCTTGTAAGAACATCTCAGGCTCTCTGACATCTAAACAATGGAACATGCATTTAGTTTTAGCCCTCATGCCGCCTCCACGCTTATCGACAAGGTTTGTGTGACAGCTTTAAGAAAGGAAGAGCACATTGCATATGTGCATATGTAAAAGCAGCTCACTCTGTACTCATAATGGGCTACATATGTAATTGGGCTGCCAACCCACAACATTTCCTCATCCACTGTGTAGCTGTTATGCCTTTTGTGTGGTAGGAACTTGCCAAGTGGGTCATGGTCGCTGCTAATGCTATCTGCATTTTTCTTTGTGGTTTTTAAAGGAGCACTGTGGAAGCAGTGCAATAGAGGAGCCCAGTCACCAGCTCGTGTTGGTTCATGGGCACCTGCCTGTCAGAGCATGCAGTGCTGCTGCTTCCCCTTCTGATTGAGAAGCAGATAAATAGAGTGGTTTTTGTGAATGTGACCCCTTTCCTGACCATCACAGTGGAGAAAGCACTGTGATCTGTGGTCATGGTGCATCTATCTGCTGCTGCTGCAAGCAGAGCGAAATACAGCAACCCAAAGCTGGCCCCCTATCAGGAAAGCCCAGATTTTTTGAAGTGGAAATGCTTGAGTTTGTATATTTGGATTTGGGTTGGGGGTTTTTTGGAGGAAGAAAGACTTGGCAGTCTTCATGATGAGCAGGACAGCCTACCTGGTGTATCATTTCAGTAGCAGTTGCATATTGAACCTATAGGCTCTAGGAGCCTCCCCTAAAGGACATAACTTTATCTTGTCCTTGTGATTTTGTGCTTTGATTTAACTAGCTAACAATTTACGATGACCTGGAGGGTAATAAAAAATTCTGTACTGAAGGTTTTATTGTTTCATTTTGATATGCATTAAATTTTGGTACTATCTTTTACTGGGGTTTCTCACTTCCACTTTCCGTGCAAGTTGACATTAATAACCCAGGTATGAAAACAAGAAGGCTGCAGACACAACACGTGCATGTTCTCTGCTGGTTAAGCCCATTTTCCTGGCTAAGACTCTTGTCTCAATGGGCTTTATTGAATTTCATATTGTATTCCTGCCCTGGGTTTCTTTATGTTGGAACTAGATGATTTAAAGATCCATTCCAACCCAAACTATTCTAAGACTGTATGATTCCTTAAACCTGTTGTAGTTCTGTATCATTGCTTTTGTCGCCTGTGTGTCAGCACAGGTGCCATACTGACTGGTTGCCACAGCTATTGCTATTTGCATGCTAAAAATAAACTCAATAAACAAGGAAAAATGTATTTTTTCCACCTCCTTCCTGAAGACGTTGCTGCTGCGATGTGTGATGGATCCAGTTAACATGGCTTGGGAAGCTCCAGAAACAGTATTTTTGGTAAGTTCTGATTGTCATGTCATGACATTAGGAAGAATTTCCTTACAGAGGGAGTGTTCAATCATTGGAACGGGCTGCCCGGGGGCAGTGGTGGAGTCCCCATCCCAGGAGGTATTCAAGACATGTGTGGACATGGCACTAAGGATCATGGTTTTGTGGTGGGTCTCAGTATCAGACTGATGGTTGGACTTGGTGATCACGAAGGTCTTTTTCATCCTAAATGATTTGGTGACCCTGTGATTCTGTGTCCAACTTTCCCAGCACAAAACCAGCCTGATTCTTACTGCACCCTAACACTGGAAATGGGTCAGACTGATTTCCAGCTGGGATTTGTTCCCTTGTGAAGCTGGGATATGGTCTGGGCTGTCATCGGGTTGGCTCACGGTCCAGCAGCTGATCCATGAGCCCTTGCACTGATATGAAAGAAGAGCTGAGTGACTTGCAGCATTCTTGCCATTGTCCCCACCCAGGCCTCTGAGGGCATATAAACCAGAAATCTGCTTTACAGAGAAAGTAATGGACACAGAGATTGCACTGAAAGTGACCCAGCAAGTCCACGTAGAGGTGATAACAGTCCCCTGACTGCCAACAGTAAGATCTTCTGCAGTCCTCATAATTCAGCCCAATAAGCACCAAAGCGAACCACCAGCTTTCAGGTCAGATTATGCCTGCAGATTTCTCTTCCTTTTATATCCTATTTTAACACCCCCTGGTTGTGTAAATCAACAACACTAGAGAGAGGAAGGCAGTAATTATTACCATTGTTAGCACTTAGACTCTCACTGTGCTGGGCACGATGCAGCAGCACAACAAATGCCAGCCTGCCCCCAAACTCCCCAGGATCTGGCATTTCTTTTGTTTTTGTCTGCTGTCTTTTGTCATTTCAGTTGTCTTTTGCAGTTTGGGGTGGATTTGACGTTTTGCTTCTTCCTGAGGCAGTGCCTTAACACTGTATGGAGGGGAAGGCAACAATCTCAGAGCTGCTCCCAGTGGGCAGTCCTCAGCTGCTGTGAAATAGAGGGCTGGGAGGGACCCATCCATTGAGGCAGCCAGCATGACATTGACCCCAAGGTGGGAAACAGCTCTGTCTCAGGCACTGCCCTTATCTCCTCTCCTGTTAGCTGGTTATCTGGAGCTTGCACCTTGCAACCTCAGGTGTATTGTCATCAATCATTTGCTGTTTTCTGTTGTGTACTGGTTCTTCTCTGCCCTTCCTTTGTTAATAACCCAGTTTGCCTATATCCATAAAAATATCTGATTGTGATACCATTTATCCAAAGCACCATACATCCATCATGTACTTACGAGAGAGATAAACAAGGTCTCCTGGGAAATATGCCGCAAGAAATATATAGGATAAATAACTATATCAAATGTGTGTCAATGTGCAAGAGGGGAAAATCCATTCATTAAAGCCAGGGTGGAACCACAGTGTTTTATTGTACCCTCTAAGCTTTTAGTTTAAGTAAGAAATCTACGTTTTTGCCACTTATCTCATCTAGCACAGCTCTCATGCTGGCCACTTCAGCAGGAGAAATATTAGCTTCTTTGACTGGCACTGTAAATGTGTAATTGCTCGTAATCTTTTTTATTTCTTTTCTCTCTCTCTCTCTCTCTTTTTTTAATTTAAACAGACCTTATGGCCAGTTTCTCCCTGGACTGCAGTTCCCTGGTCTGAGCTCTGGGGAGGAAGATGCCTGAGTCCTGGGTGAGCAGAGGAAAGGGGCTGCTGCCCAACCCTTCTTGATGTTGGTTCATATTCAGTTTTCATCACTTGGATTTCTCTGGTTGTGGTGACTTTCCAGCCTTATAGAAACGCCTCCAAAGGTGAGGCTGCAGGTCATCTTCCCCCAGGCCTCCACTCTCCAGCCTCTTAGGCAGCAAATCTTTCCCTTCATTAATTTCTCCCCCCTGGCCACAGAGGCTCACTGCAGTACCTTGACTCTCATTTGCTCTTGGGTTTTGTCCCAAGCAGTCTGTGCACAGGTGAGAATCACCCATGAACCAAAATGGTTTTGGATGTAAGAATCCTGTCGTATGTTTCTACATAATCACTGAGTCATAGTATCATTAAGGTTGGAAAAGATCTCTAAGATCATAAATCATAGAAGGGTTTGGGTTGAAAGGGATCTTTTAAGATCATGTAGTTCCAACCCCCTGCTATAGGCAGGGACACCTCCCTCTAGACCAGGTTGCTCACAGCCCCATCCAGCCTGGCTTTGGGTGCTTCCATGGAGGGGGTATCTACAACTTCACTGAGCAACCTCTGCCAGCATCTCTCCACCCTCACAGTAAAGAATTTCTTTATCAAGTCCAAGTCATCAAATGCAACCATCAGCCCATCAACCCCTCTGCCCACTGACCATGTCCTGCATAATGTTCCAGCCCCATGCCAACGACTATTGATAGAAGCTTAGTGGGGAAAGGCTGCTTTGCTCACATTCCTCCATGCTGCCTTAATCACACCAGTATGCTGGTGGATGCTTCATGCTGCTGCATTTTCTCAGCATAGAAGACATCAGATTCAAACCCTGGGGAGCAAATCTATCTCTGGATGAGTGCAGACTTTACCTGGGAAAGCAGGCTTGGCAAAAAGGCCACCGTTTTGTCACACATTTATCCACATCTTAAAAACGTGTCATAGTAATTTTTCACTGAAAAATCAAATCTTGGTGTTGGAGACAACATGGTTTGTTATTTTCTTATACAAAAAAAGAAAAAAAGAAAGAAAAAAGGCTGCAGTTTCACTTTCAAGCAAAACAGAAGTGGTTTAAAAAAAAAAAATAATCTTTTGGCAAATGTGCACACAAAAGAAAATATGGGGCCAGATCTTCAGGTAGCATAAATCAGCTAAAGTGAAGGAGCTACACTGATTTACATCAGCTACATGTCAGCCTCTAAATCACCACCGACACACTGCTGAAAAACAAGCATTTCCAAGCATCAGAGCTAGAGCTGAGCAATTTCTTTCACTAAACCATGATTCCTTTCTACTCCCACTTCCCATTCAAATGTATGTAGAAGTGCTCCTTTGTGCTTTGAGGTTTTGTTGCTGTTCACAATGCTTGATTCCTTCTCAGGGCTTTTTTTCCCCCCTCCCTTCTTTCCCTGCAATGCAAAGCGCAGTGAAATGAAGTGCCACTTGCCTTCTGTCCTCTCTGGGTTTTGTGGCAGTTCATTAAGAGGGCTGAGCTGTGGGCTCTGGATGCAGTTCAATACCACATGTATTCCTGTGCTGAGATTTATGCCTTACGTTCAGAAAAGACCTTTAAATCAAGCAGCTCGGTAGCAACTTCCCTGGCTCTGGATGCCCGGGGGATGAAATGCCCATGTGCCAATCAGCCCATCACTGGTGCAAGAGGAGCAGTCTGTGTCCCCTATGGCCCCTATGTGAGCATCTCCTAAAGAATGGTTTTCCTTCCGGCCTCTCTGTTACTTTATTTATTGATGTAAGAATCTTTATCGCTTTGAGTTGACATTTCACAATGGCTCTTTGAACGTCTTTGGGCTTAAGCTTCCTCCACGCAGCTCAGCATATGGCTTTGCTGAAGACACAGCCCTGTCCAATATGCTAGACGTAAGAATCTGACTGTGCCAACTTATAAAAGTTTCATGGTACATATGTCAATACCAACTGCATAAAAATGCAAGGATCGCGAGCTTTTAATTTGTTTTCCAAAGGCAAACGTAGACATTTCTGCAAGCAAACAGTTCTAACACATGTATTTTCATACCTGTGACACTTAGAGCCTTGTGCTCGTGCCTATGGAGCCAGGCTGGGTTCAGCAGGAGGAGCTCTGCTTATCTCTCCCCGTGCAAGGTGCCCCTCCGTGCTGCGGGGCTGGGTTGGTGCACTGCCGGCTGCGGTGCCGTGAGCCCGACTGGCACGGGGTCCAGGATGACCAGCAGCTCCAGTGCCCATCTGTCCCTGTGCCTGGAAAAGCATAGGACATAAATTATAATGTTTGACTCAACTGAAGAGCTGCAGTTTGACTTCCCAAAGGGCTGCCAGCAGCTCTCTGTGTTAATTCCCCTACCTCCAAGCAAAGGCAGAGGGGCAAGTATCCCCCAGCCTCACTGTTATGGAGCTGTCCCAAAAAGCCCACCTGTCCCTGTGCAGATGGGTCAGTTTGAGGCTTTTTCTTTACAGTACAAACTGAGATGTCAGGTGTGTTCGATACTATAGATTATAGCGATGCTTCTGAATGATGGGAGTGCTTGATGGCTGTCATTTACTGTCGTGTTTTATTTACTCAGCTGGCCTTCATCTCTGACTTGGGCACTTTATTAATCTGAACAATAAAAATGGATCTGTGTGTTCTTACTTAGAGCTGGATGAAAAGCTGGGCTTCCCATCTGAAACACTCATCTTTATAAAAACAGAACAATAAAACCAACAAAAAAAAAAACACCACATTTGCTCTAAAATGACTCTTGAAACTAAAAACCTGCTTCATTTCCATGAGCTGGAAGTCCTGTTCTGTCAGCTCTTCATTGCTGAAAACAAGGAGCCACCATCTCTGGAGGTGCCCAGGAACCATGGAGATGTGGCACTGAGGGACATTGTCAGTGGGTACATAGGGCGTGCATTGGGGTTGGGTTTGGGGATCTGAGAGGGCTTTTCCAGCCTTAATGATGCTGTGATGTTCAGAGCAATTTGTGTGAGCGCAATGGGTTCCTTGGATTTGGAGACAACCCAACCTGATGTTGCTGGTTTTCTTAAAAAAAAAAAAAAAAAAAAGTGCCACTTTTGAGTCATTGAGCCAATGCTTTTTAGTTCAGTTTCATAAATCATCTACTGAACTTTGCTTGTACTCCTTATCACAAATCTGATTTTCCAATGGAGAGGCCCTAGTTACCAGCAGGTGGTTGAAGGCCTGGAGCTCTGTTGGATGAAACTGCTCTGTTTAACAGCGTGTGTCAGCAGAGGGGAGGACTCATGGTAGCCTTATAGCTCCTCACTGGAAATGGACAGCACTGAGCTCTGCAACCTGGGACAGTGAGGGGACCCAAAGGAATGGCATGGAGCTGCGTCAAGGGAGGGTTGGGTGGGTTGGGTTCCCCAAGGTGCCAGAGCTCAGGGAGAGCTGGGACACCCATCACAACCATAGGGTTCAGGTGGTCCCATGTGGTGCCAGGAGTTGGGCTCAGTGATCTTTGTGGGATATTCCCCCCAACTCAGGATATTCTGTGATCCTGTGTTGGTTTACCACGTGCATGGACAGCCCTGTCCCCTCGATGGCAGCACACTGGGATCTCACCTTGGTGTTCAGCCTGCTCACAGGCAGGGCCACTGTATCCAGACCGGCACTGGCATGAGCACTCATCTCCCACCAGGACAGGTTCACCATTGTTCTGGCACGGCCCGCAGCGACAGGCATTGAACTCCAGCAGGTACTCATCCAAAGCCTGCTTCAGGTGCTGCCGTTTGGTTTCCATGTTGCCAGCATCACTTCTGCGAAGGATTTCGTGGATAGGTTGCAGCTGCACAGAGCAGAGATAAAGAATGGAGGTTGGGGATTTCGGCTGGGCACAAACTCAGGTGCTGCAGAGAGCAGGGAGATTGCTGGGTAAAGACAAGGCTGAGAAAAAGCTCATTTGTCTTCCTCGACAGCTGCATGGATGTGATGCAAACGTGACCACCACTGATAGCACCTAGTGAGAAACCACTGGTCCAAAACTCTTCCCATCTTAGAGGTCTGTGTGGGAATGGCTTCTTTTGACATGCTTTGGTTTTTCAATGTGGATCCAAATGATAAATCAGAACAGCCCAGTAAGCCCGTTGTTTGATTGATTTCTTACTGCTGCCACAGTGTCAGGTTCTTGCACGCCTTTTGCTTTTTTGAACCAAAACATTTAGGTGAGAGCTTCAGACAGTGGGTATCATCAAAACTAGACACTGAGAATTTTATCTGCCTACAACTTGCTCTTTGAGACTAATGCATCTACAGCTTTAAAAGCATAGCAAGCTTTTGTATTTCCGGTAGCAAAATGCAATTCTTGTGTATGATTAATCAAAATATCCAGATGTAGACAGCTGTAATTGTAACCCACCTTCTGCTTTGAACCTACTCCATAGGATAGATGGGATTAGCCAAAGGGCAGCAGGCTCATACATTGGTGGCAGGGCTCTGCCTTTTGAAATGCCCTGAGGGGCTGTTTGGGGTGTGTTAGGTATTCAGCTGTGTTTAGAAACTGGATCCATGAAAAATCTCAGCCTTTCCAGTTTCACCAGTAACAAAAGGAAACTTTAAAGCAACAAGCTCAAGGCCGATGCGAGGACACATATCTATATGCCTAGCATGCATCTGGCTGAGAACTGGTAGGGCACCAGTCCAGGAAAGTCCTGGGCATCATCTCATTGCACAAGGCACACAGGGCGAGGAGGATCAGAAAAGCTTTGGGAAGAGCTCTTAGTCAAATTTGTACAAACTCGTTTAACAAACGAAAGCGAGCTACTGATAAGCGCTGCTATAGTGGACACAGGCACTTATTGGCAGCATGAAACACTGCTGGTTGCACAACAATGGCTGAGCTCTCAAAGCAGCCAGCAGAGAGGTCAGCATGTGTTTTACTGGAAAACTGCAGTAAGTTTTGCCCAGAATTGATGGGAATTGGTGAAGAGAGGTGAATAACCTGAAGCATGCATTCAGCTGTGACTGAAAGCACTTGCTCTTTAGCTGGCCTTTCTGCTACCAGGGTGCTGCCCAGAAGGCTTTGCAGATTCCCACTTTCCTGACAATAATGCAAGTAATTCCCATTTCCACCTACCTAATTCTCTTTTACTGTTTGGCCCTCTTCCTGCACTTCCTTCTAATGACAGCAAGGATGGCTATGGCAGCGCATCCATGCTGTGACCCTGGTCCTTCCTTCACACTAGGAAGCCCTGTAGGATGCCTCAGTGAAATTTCCATCTTACAGAGCATCCAATAAAATGGGAGGGTGAGAACTTTGCTGATTTTTATGGCCATGAACCCTCCCTGCAAAGCGTGGGAAGAGATAGGACCCCACTGAGAAAGTGGTTTTTCCTGCTCTAACTCCTGGAAGCGCCCATAGCAATACATTTTTCACACAAAGGGTGGTGAGGCACTGGAACAGGTTGTCCAAGGAGGCTGTGGATGCCCCATCCCTGGAGGCATCCCAGGCCAGGCTGGATGTGGCTCTGGGCAGCCTGGTCTGTTGGTTGGCGACCTGCACATAGCAGGGGGTTGGAATTAGATGATCATTGTAATCCTTTTCAACCCAGGCCATTCTATGATTCTATGATTCAATACCCACCGTGGTGTGCAGAGGTTCGCTAGAACCACTGTGGCTCTGAAGCAAGCAGAATGTGAACTGTTCCCCATGAATATCCTGCCTATACAGGAGGCCAGGAGCATTAGTGAGAATAATAGGGATGGATGCAACCATGGAGAGCCACTCACTGGGAAGCTGTTTGGGGACACATCACAAACTTAACTCGGCACTAATCCAGCATTAAGCTCCTTGTCTGCCTCCCTGCTGATGCTGCCAGGAGGAGATGTACTCCCCATTGTGAAATGAATAAGAGGTTACTAGATCAGTGGCCCATTACATTTAATCTTGTTCTGCGATGGGATCACAATAAAAATACAAAATGATCTGCTCGGCTACACTTTCATTCGTTATAGTGGCAGAGTTTCTTCAACTGCAGAAAGCCTTACCTCAAAATCAATAATAGCTGGATTATATTTTAATGACCTTCCCCAGCGCCGATACGTGTTGCTATCCCAACTGCTTAAGGGCCGTGCACTGTAAGAGGTATCTCCACCTTTAATCCGGACAATGATATCTTCCACGACTGGATTGTTGCTCCCAGCATCTGAGAAGTCAGCTAACACACATATATTTAATTACCACATCTACACCAGAAACTTCAATCATCGGAGGAACTCTCAGTGTGCGCTACCAGTGCTGCAATCCCAAAATTAAAGGATGCTCCATTTCTTTCTGCACCGGCAGGGTGAACCCTCTGCATTGTTATAAAGTGGTTGGTGATGAGTTAAGCATTGGCAAATGCCCTAAGCTGGTAAGACCTAAAGAGGCAGCACATCTCTGGCCTTTATGTCTGCTTAGCATGGATGCAGATCTCCTTGTCTATCAGTGGGGTTTTCTGCTTGTTATGATCAGCTTTGACTTAATCAATAGACACCACTGTTGCCATCTCTGGTCCAGCATTGGCCCCATGGGTCACAACAAAGTCTCCTGCATGTTTGGTGACACATGGGACATCTACAGAGGGACTGGAGCCACTTCCAAGGGAGCATGGGGGCTTGGATCTGATTTTTATGTCTCCCTGGTTCATCACTGCCCACCCTGGGGTGTCTGAAAGGACTGGAGCTCTCCAGTCATCCGTTCACTCTACTTACATTTCTGTCCAGATGCTACTACTTCAATTTCTTTCAAGAGGTGCCCACTCCTGGAAAGGGGGACCCAAATATGCTTTTGTCCCACCTGGGGTCTGAGCTGTGTCTTGGGATGGCACCAGAACACCTTCTATACCTTGTAACCCTACCTTAATCCACAGGCCCAGTGACAAAGGAATGGACCCATGGGCTGTATCTTAGCAGACAACTATTTCCCATCACCATACCAGCATTCAGAAGCTGTTTCTTTCCGCAGACAGAGAGTGACACAGATGCTTCCCAATGCAGCATAAGCTTTGTGGCTGAAACACCCAGTGAGAGGCCAAAACAGGTGGTTACTTCTTCATAGCTGATGTCTGTGAAGCAACAATGCAAACAGTAAATGCAGTGATTAGTACTGAGTGGAAGGTTTTCATTTTCCCACTTGTGTATTTCACATCAATGAGGAAAATAGTCAGCTAATTACATTGCCTGTTACTCACAGGCTTATTTCAGGCAGAGAACAGCCTTCAGCCTCACAGTAGCAAAGCCAAGCATTTATTGGAGTGTATTGGGCCATATTAGGTGAATAGGGAAACTTCCTTACCAGTAAGTGGTTTCCTTCTTATTAAAAGAAACAGAATATCTTAACACAAGGCTTCAAGCATGTATTTCCTTCTTTGGCCTATTTATTTAAAATGGAAAAGATTTTGTAGTTCTTGTTTGTGGGTTTGTTTGTTTTGGGTTTTTTTGGTATTGTTTTTTAGGGGGATTTCCCTCCCTCCCCCTATTGTGGACTAACTTATAAATAGAGTAAAGCTGGGAACAGCAGCTGAAATCAACAGGTTGTTGCTAATTTTCCCAAACTAAGGGTCTGACCAATGTATAAGCAGCACCTTCAGCAGTTGCTTGCTAAAGCTCTGTCTGCTGAAAGCTACAAAAACCCTATTGCATGCTGCTGTTACTAGTGCTGCCACATACATCACCCAAATCTGTAACTGGAGACCCATGAAGTGACTGCAGAGGGGAGAAGCAGACTAATGAGGTGGTTTCACTAAGGTAAGCAATGTGCATATTTCATATGGCATAGTTTCGTGTGTATGCTTCAGTCTGCTGCAAATGTAAGGCTGTCTTTTGGATTAGTTAAGAAATCTTTTCATTTCAATTAATATGGGTGTTGTAAGCAATAGGTAATTTTCACGATGCTCCTTTTGTCAGACATCCTGCTCTTCTTGGCAGGATTTGTGTATTGTGACTTAGTGGTTTAATGATTTAGGCTCCAGTTGAGCCTGATCTTTGCCTTGTACTAGGGAGCAGCACACTGTCTTGCTTGCCTTTAAAACATGAGTAAAAACTAGTTGTGTTCTTCTTCCCTCCCCTACATCCTAATGGGGAGGTGGGGAGTTGTGCAGGGTGTGGGGTTGCTGGGTGTCTTCATGTATGTGCTCAGTGCCCTAGGAAGGGGACTTCAAGTCCTATGCCTGAAGTGACATTCCTGTGAAGCACTCTGAAGTCTTCATGGGGAATTACATCTCCATGCAAAATGGAGCCCTTGAGGAAGATCAAATGGATAATGCACGGTTACTTGTAGTAAAGTGTTCAACAGTTGTAAGTGCAGTGGGTAAAGTTCACTCACCCAAAGCACCGTGAGCGATTGCTCATCTTAGTGTTGGAGGGCCGTAAAATTAAACTCGAGGAATGCCCTGGTTAATTGATTTGCTATGGTTCCTGTTGAATAATTATGTACAGCAAGAGTCTGTCAATACAATTTGCTATTGGTTGCAGCAAGATCAGGTCTTGATAAATGCAAAGTGGTTATCATTGCAAAAAGATGGTCATAGAAAATATTGGCACTTGAGGGAGGAGCCCTGATAGTTTTTTATGTTATGTAATTTGCAATAGTTGAATGTGCTCGAGATTTACTGCTTTGTTTTGAATTAATCAGAATATCTGAAGACTCTTTCTAATTTACTCTGCACGTAATGTTTCTCCCATAAATGTTCTTGTAATGTGGGAACACATTATGCTATTTTCAGCTAAATAATAGAGTCATAACAATCTATTTTTAAAAAAGTAATGAAAAATATTGATGGCAGAGCAACAAGGGACCTTACTCTGACACGAGCATTTGTTTAGTTCGCTTGTGGCCATGTTCATAGAAGGAAGCCCTTGCTAGTGAAAGCTAGTGCTGGGTCTGGTTGCAAAACTGCAGTCCTGAGCTGTGTACAAGTTGGTTGTGGTCTATTCGTGGGTGTCTTAATTCAGGAGGTGACTTCATTATCAAAATTCAGGTTTCTCAGATGCTTGAAATATAGCTCATGCTTATGTCTAGTTGGCTCAGTGACCACCAGATATTTCTCATTTAAGCAGAGCTCAGCCTTAGGGATTTTATTTCCTGGGCATGACTGGCTCAGTCACCTGTCCACAAAAACAAAACAATCATTTTCTCTTCCAAAGCATTTAATGTGTATCTTCCTGGGCTGGTTGGATTCTCAGGATGTATGGGTGGATCTAAAGCAGGAGTTGTGCTGCTCAGCCCTGTAGGAACTCAGCTTCAAGCTCATTTTTGGAAGCCATGGTTTTCAAGATTTGAGAGCTTATACCCTGATCCTGACCATCCCTCAGGGGAGTTGAATAAATCCTCTTGCAAATACAGCCTTCAAGCAAGCATGGCGGTGATCACCAATAGAGAGGTTGTTTTTTTCCTCATGGCTTTGCACGGTGGCTTATCAGCCACTGCAGGTGGTCCTTCTGGGTCTACATCGTATGATACAGAGTGCTGTTGATTTGATAAATGTGGCCTTTCTAGCAGAATCTGAGTTAGATGGAAATTACACAAATGTGCCCCATTAGAATGAAAATTACATCTCTACTGGGGCACATTTTTGTCTTTTGCTGAACTTCAGCATCCTTCTTCCCTAAAAGAGGGCATCTTGTAGCAATAAATATACTCCTCAGATACATAATAAGCACGAGATACAGTAAAATAATAGCCTCCATCCACGTGTGCTTGATTAATTCTTCCTCTGAATTTGGCAGTCTATTTCCTGACGACTTGCTTGCCAAGACTGTTCGCTTCTACGTCCCTCACTCTTCAAAGTGAATGAATGATTTGAAGAGGCATTATGTTTCCAAACACTGCCAGTTGAGGAATTCAGAGAAAAATCTCTAAACGGGTAATTTCTTGCAGAAAGATGGCATGGTTAATGCTAGCTATGCAGTATGTAGTTATTCTAGTGCTGGTGGTACCAAAGCGTTTCAGACTGGAATGCAGAACCATGGAAACTGATGTAATTTCAGCAATTTGCACCTGCTGTCCAAATGCAAATTTATTTTGACCTGAATTCCCACAGGGGCATAGGTACCCTCAGCAGAGGAGAGTGGGGATATTTAGGTAAAGCTGGATCTGTTGCACGATTGTCACCTTTGCAAAAGTTGGCCATCTGTTCAGCGTACTCCATGGTACCATGTTACTGTTGTTCTGCATCTTATGTTTTTGATTAGGTAGAGTGTTAGGCTTTGGCTTTCTGGCAATGGCTATTTCTACAGTCTAGATTTCTGCAGTGGATATTTCATTAAATGAGATTTAGAGGTACAGCTCTCCAGCCTTGTATGCTCTAATTTGTTGAGAACTGGAGCTGACAGAGCTCTGGTAGTCTTTGGATATGACACTAGCCAGAGTAAGATGACTGAGGTATTGCCAAGTGCAATGGGTTATTTCCATTTGCAGGAATTTGAAGCCCTCATTTTTAGGATGTGAAAGTGTCAGTGGGCTCTCATTTTTTTTATTTTTTTATTTTTTTTTACTTTGAATGAGTTTGCAGTCCTTAAGCATCCATAAGGTGGCCAGAACTAAGACCCTAAGCAATAGGAGAAGTTTAGAGAAGACTGGCAAGTGACAGTGGAAAAACAGAGAAAAAAGATACTCAGATTACTTATTAAACTACAAAAAAACTTCACTCAGATTTCTTCTAAAATGAGATCAGGAAGAACACTTTGTGACAATAAAGCTTCTCTGCTATGCGTCAAGTGGTATCTTGTGAAGAACATGTAGTACTCAAACCCAGCCCTACTGCATTTTGGGGATTTTTGGTGGACGTATGTCTATCTTGTGATGAAAAATAGGCTCTCTTTTCCCAGCTGGCTGCTAATGAGCACCCACCCACTCAGGAGCCACCAGATGGTGGACTGGACCTATTCCATGATCTCTAGGTTGTTAAATGCCTGGTTTAGAGCAGAAAGCTGTGAGAAGTGCTTGTGTCATTCTAACCTTTTCGTCTCATTTCTTCTTTGTTAACAACGAGGATGTACTCAAGATCGCCTCCCATTGTGCCAGATGTCATGAAATGGGTGCCATAGTCATTGATGAATTTGGCGTACATGCCATAGTTGTAGGTATCTGGAAGCTCCCGCAGGGAGATGAGCATATCTTCATCCAAAACTATGTTGTTCCTTCTCATCTTGAAACGGGCCGTCTGCACCTTGGTCGCAATTCTAATAAATCCAACGTTCTGCAAGTAGAAAGGAGCTGACAATCAGTATTCGTGGAGGGGCTGGGGGAGAGAAGGTCATTCCTAGTTCTCCAGTTTGCGGAGAAAAACCTGAGTATGACTGCCAGTATGTGTTGTAGGTTTGAAAGCAGTCAAAATTTAAACGAAATCAGGGTAATTTTAATTTTTTTTCCATGTCTCATTGTTGTGTGGCTGTGTGAGGTGGAGGGCAGCATAATAGATCGGATGGTTTGTAGGTTTGTTTTTTTTGATGTGCTGAGCTCTGCAAGATTCTTCCTCATCCTCTATTTCTGCTATTTCTATTTTTGTTATTTCCTTTTGTATTTTGACAACCTTGATGAGGCTACAGGAGGATACCCTGTCTGGGAGGGGAGTATTTACTAACCTAAAAACATATTGGATCTAACAACATATCCGTGGCTCCTCCTCCAGACCAATTGTTGCCTCAGACAGGATGCCAGTGCAACAGAAACAGCCCCTTAAATGATTCCTCCCATAACAGATCATTGTTCAGCTGCAAGTGAATCTAGATGAGTGCTCAGTAAATGCTCTAGTGGTGCCAATTTCAAGCAGATTAAGGGCTTTTCAACTCAGAACGCTATCAAAATAATTATTCTTTATAGTTTGCTATCAGCAGCCAAGAAAGAAGAGGAGAGAAGGCATAGTATATGTGGGAGATAGTAGCATTCATGTTATTAGATGGGGGAAGAAAGTGTCACAGCTAGACCAAAATGAGAAAAGCTTGTGAGAAATAAGCCTTATTATTGGAAGCTCTTATTTTCATCATGTTGCTTGAACCTCTCTTCAAGAATAGTGCATTTCCCTCTCATAAGGCAGCTTGTATTAATTAGAACAAGATATATTTTCTAGTGGAGATCATTCCCCAAGGACTACTGTTTTGATCAACATCTTGGTATTTCTTCCTCCCTCATTGTTATCTCTTGTATTTTTTTTAATATGTGCTTAATGTAGCCATGAAACAGGATGGGGTGGGGTGACGTCTTGTGGTATTTAGTAATTCAATTTCATTCTTCCTCTCTGTTTTCTAAAATGTTATAAGAACAACAAACAGGATTGCTAACGATACATATTTGCAATTATATGAACAAATGAAGGTACAGTTGCTATGTGTTTAAAAAAAAAAAAGTAATTAAGAGAATAATCAGGAAGAAGTTACAACCAGACCATGCAACGCACAGATGAGATGACTGGAGTGTGTGCATTGCTGTCTTTTATTTTTTTACCTTTGCAGTATATTCCGTGAAATTCTTCAGGGATCCTTTGCCACGTGATAAGGTGAAGCCGAGGTTCAGTTTGAAATCTATTTTTTTAGGGCCAATCCCAAAGGTAAAGCCCCCTCCTTTGAATTTATTACTTTTGAGGGCATCAATCAGATCTTTTGAATCATCGTAAAACTCAGAAGAGAAACCAGAGTCAGCGTGAGCCTAAGGTGGAAGGAGCACACATTAATTTCTCATGCAGTTCCCTTTTTAATCTTTCCCTATTTCTTCAAGGAGTTGCTCATACCTCTGTTGAATCCAGTGATGCTCCTGATCAATGAGAGCAGAATAAAGAATGCAGCCACGTGCCATTTAATTTGGAAGCGTGTGGGAAATGCAGATAAAGCCACACATCTTGCTTCATCTGTCCACGTGCAGGGAAATGGCTTGTGTTTAACCACCAAAAGCAATGCCATCAGAGTCAAAGCTGCTAATGGTGCCTATCAAGCCAGCTTGACACTTTCCATTTTAAAAACTCTCCCTCCATATCCTTGCAGCTCTACCAAATTCTGACTGTTTTGAGTGGTTTTTTTTCTTTCACTCCAGCCTGCTTCAGGAGGAATTTACTTAGGGAAAAGATTCAACAGCAGTAATCCCTCCACTTATGAGGGCCAAGTTAGAAAATAAACATTGTTCTGACCACGTTTTAGAGAAGTGACCTTTTCCATGACAGCTCTGCTTTGCTGGCGTGTGGAACTCAGCAGCCCTGCTGAGCTCAGGCTCTGCCACTTGCATCTCTATAAAAAGCCAGATAAATTACAAATGCTGAAAAAAGACATCTCCATGGGCTATGAGTGTCTTCCTAGACCCCAGTGTCTCTGAAGACAGTGTATATATGGGACTTGCAATATATGGGGAACATTGCCCCTCTCTGAGCTGGTGGCCATAGTATCACCCTCAGATTTCAGACTGTTTCTTTTAGCCATTCCAAGGACTTCAATGCTTCCAAGGATTGAATTGCTAGCATTGTTCCCATTTTACATATGGTCAGCTTCATACCTGAGGAGGCAAGTGGCTTCTGCAATCTCTACAGGTCATTAATAGCAAAACTCAGAATTTAGAAAGGAAAAAAGAATTATCTTGGCTTTGACTAGAGTAGAATAAGAAATGTGGATGCCTGGATGGTAAAGCACATCAGTGCCTTGATGTGCCATGAAACTGCTCTTCTATCACCAGTTGTCTATTGTCTTGGGGACAGCTGGACGAAGGTAATTTGAAAGACAGCATGCAGTGAATTGTCTCCTCTCATATAATGTGCGTAGTATCTTTGCAACAAGTTTGGCTTTTTAGCTGAAGAAATACTGCCAAATTTGACCCCCTGAGTACTTACCAGGAATTGGTATACGTGGAAGTTGTAAGGCTTGAGGAAATACTTCTCATCATCTCCGTAGTACAGGCGTTCACACGCAGCATCATACCTCAGTGCCCTCCACTCCCCATTGTAGACAGATTCACAGTGGCTTCCCAGAAATTTAGGGTCATATATGTACCTTTTCTCCTCTTGTGTAAGGATGTTGTATCTTTCAAAAGAAATACCATTCAGAAAGTTATCGTTAACCCCTGTTTTTTTTTTTCCAGCTGAATCTGTCGCGATTTCTGTCCTCATGATGCCTCATGTATCCATCCTTATATCCAACCTGGACCTTAAGCAGCAACCATCATCTGAGAGCTGAGTCTGTTTTCTCTATGCTCTCTCCTTCCCAAAGCTAACTGAAGGCAAACAGCCATTTCATTTCCAAGACACTGGTTTGCACTCAGATGCCAGAGATAGCAGTCAGTGAAGTTATACAGTCCATCCCTGTGAGTACAGTTGTGGAAGTCCCAAGTACTGGGATTCCTCCAGTCCCAGTGAACCTTTCGTGACCTGGTGCATCTCAAAATATTTCCTGGCTTCACTGTAACTGTTGCCTATCTTAATTTTATCTCCTGCCTTTAGTAGTGGTCTCATTTTTGTTTTTTTCAATGGAGTTAGCATCCTCCCTGGACTTGAAGTCTCCTATTGCTCTGCTAAGTTAATCACTTATTTCCATACACCTCCCTGTTCCTGCTCCCAAGCCATCACAGTGCTGCCCTCTGAATTACTGGGAATATTGAGTAACAGGTGGGATTCCAGTGGCTCAAAATGAAAGCATTATTCAAACCAGACAGCAGCATCGCTCCTCACGACAGGGAATCACCCGTAAGAACAAGACAGTGCTATTGCTTGTGTGCATTCTGCAGAGGAAACAAATCAAAGCAGTATCGAATGCGGTGCTCAGAGCAAATTAACGTAGGTCACCAAGAACTTTGGATACACTGAGCATTTTTCTCATTGACTCCAGAGCGTCGGGTCAAACAGGTTGGAGAATTGCCCAATGAATGGCTACGCTGTCGTATTGTAGCTCATGTTCTCCAAATGGTACTAAGTAGCATCATGCTTAAAAGACGAGATCGAGGGTAAAAGTGCCAGAATAGACAACTTGACTTAAAATTCATTCTAGACTTTTTTCTTTGTATTTGTAACAACAACAAAAAAGAAAAAGCATAATAGAATAAAACTTTTTCATGCATAGAAGTACTTTCTCCAGCTTATCATCATCTGGTGCTCAGGCTCTCTGCTCTGACTCTCTGCTTCAAAGTCCTAAATCCTGGAGTTAGATATTCTCTCTGCAGAATGCTGCACTTCCAATATCTACTGTTTCCTTTAGTATTTGCTCTTTTGGACTGGAGAAAGCTGTAAGTTATCTGGACCCAGAGAATAGTAAAGAAGTACAGAGTGGCTGAGGCAAGCTCTGGTAATAAACCTGAGAAGAACTGGAAAGAAAAGCTGTGCTGAACCCTCCAGACTTCCACGCTGCTACCCATGGTAACATAGGGCTGGTACTTCCCTTTGGGTTTTGCATGGTGTAGTATCAGTTCATGGAGCACTGCTCTTATTAAGGAAGGGCAATATAAACAGCCCTGTTTTGGTTGCTGAAGTGGCAGCTGTTGATTAATTACTCACCCTCGTGCTGCTTTTTCAGACCCTGGGATGGGGAACAGATTGTCACAGGGGCGTTCAGTATCCTCGTTTTCACAGTCATTCTCATCAGACCCATCTCTGCAGTCTGTATTGCCATTGCACACGAGATGCCGTTTAATACAGCGACCTGGAGTGCACACAGAATTGTTTTTCCGCCTTCAGAAACCCTTTTTGCATTTACTTTGCTATTTGGCGACTAGATTTCAGTGCCACAAGCTATGCTATGTGGTAAACACTTCACTCTTCCATCAGGAGCTTATGGCAATGATTATAGCTCAAGAATGAATGTTTGCAGGAACTGCAGCTTGAAAGAATTTTATTTTTTGGGGGTGAGGAGAAAGCCTTGATGTGGCAGTCATGGAGAGAGCTGGCGCTGTAGATGAAGCAATGTTGACCTGCTTTAGCTGAGAGCTGGTATGTATTTGAGAGGATGAGAGGGAATGGCTTTAAGTTGTGCCCTGGGTGGTTCAGGTTGGGTAAAAAACTTCTCTGAAAGAGTGATCACAGGCTGCCCAAGGAGGTGGTGGAGTCACTGTCCCTGGAGGTGTTCCAGAACTGTGGGGATGTGGCACTGGGAGATATGGTTAGTGGGCAATACTGGTAATAGGTGAAACATAACACGGATGGGTTTCTGCTCTGCCCATCCAAAACCTTTGGCTGGAGTTTGAGCCCAATTTACTCACCGGTCTCCTTGCACTGGAAGTCATTCCCACAGCTTGGAGCTCTGGCACAGCTCTTCCCAGCACTGCAGCTTTGCTCATCCCAGAGGGGCCCCTCACAGCGCTGCCCTCCAAACATTGCTGGCTGCAGCAACGTCCGATGCCGGTGCTGCTCAACAGAGGAACATCTAACTTGTTTCCCTCAGGTGGACATAGACACAAATTACAGCACTGATCCTGAGATGTTTCTAATGGGTTATTAATGAGGATTTCTGCTTTTAAACCTGGGCGATGAGAAGAGCCAAATCATTTCCAGATTGAAAGCAAGGAACAAAAATATGGGGCTATGAACTCATTAGAAAGCAAAATTATGTCAGGTATTTGAAAATGAAGACTTGAATTATGAAGGCATCTGGAATGATGTCAGAATTTGAGAACAGGAACTGATGAATGAAGGTTGCTTTGAATTTCTTCTCATTAGAATATCTGAATTAAGAACCAGGGGATCCATAATTAATTCTGAAATTGAAAAGGGAGAAAGCCTTGGCCAAATATTCTGGCCTAGTTCTTCCACCTCTTGCTTTGATTTGGTGTTCTGCAGCTCTGCTGTCTTAAATTTATTGCTAGTTTACACCAAAGCAAGAGCCTCTCCACAAGAGGAGCACCTCCATCATGTTTGGGTGAGTTTACAGATGCTGCAGGATGATGAATATGTATCATATGTATAATTAATGTGTGTACATCCTCAATACACGCACATCTGAAGATAAATGAATACATTACAGTGGAGCCTTACTTTTCTCCCTTGGCAAGGGAAGCAATCAGTCCATTCCGACCACTGGCTCAGCTGACAGTTGACAGGAGCTGGAGAACTTACAGCTCTGCTGCTTCTTCTAAGGAAAGGGAGAGACAGTGTTCTGAGGGCTTTGAAGATGAGCTTTATGAATAAGAACTGCTTGTTCTTCCAATAGGAACTTGTTTCCTATGAAATAGGAAGCTGGCACTGATTGCCTTCTCTCCTGCAAGAAGGCAACCAACCCTTTCCAATAGGCTTTCTCCTGAGGAGCACATCACAAAATCAGGGAATAGTTATTCTTGCCACCTTGGTCTGAAATCTATTGATTTCACTTCTCTTTTAACACAGTTCTGAACCTACGGTCAGTATTTTGGCAAACAGGTTTGACCTCAGGCTCAGATGCTGTGTGTGGTAGCAAGAATGGCTGCACCAGTGGCACTGGGTGGCAAGGCACAAAGCTGTTCTGACCATGAGGATTTGTTGGCTGATGATTTCTAAAAGGAAACGCATGCCTTCTGTATGTGGGGGAGGGGGAAATTAAAGGAAGGTATAAAAATGGGAAATGGCAGAAGTAATGCATCACGATAGTCTTTGGATCAGAGTCTCTGCGCACACACTGAATAGTGCTGTATAACAGCAAGAAAATATTTGTCTTGCCACCCAGCCCAGTCTTTGTGATCTCTGTGTTTCTGCCTCAAATCCTACAACCTTTATTTTTATAATGCCTTTCTTTGTCTTGAGAAGAAATCCCTGGTGTAATGATGCGACTCTGAGTTTGCCACAGCCTTCAAAGCATTTTGAGGGGTTATTCCGAGTCAAAACATTATTATCGTGATGTTAGTGATTAACTAATGAGCAGTCTGTTTCACTTATGAGACTGCAGTCCAAAGAGAAATACTGATAATTAGTGGAGCTGGGAGCACTTTGGAGATTAATCAGTGAGCCCACTAAATTGGCACCATGGTTAGGGTTAGGGATGATGGGTGATGGGAGGGATCAAACCTGCTGTGCCCTTAGGAGAACAGGGAGCCTGCAGAAAGACCCTGTGCTGGAGATGGTGCTGCTGTCGATGCCTCCTGGCTCTGTCAGGAGGATTTGTGGGCTGTGTCCTTCAGCACTTCACCAAGTGCTTAATTGGTTCACCTTCGATCGGATTTTACATTTACCTCTTCATTATTCTGCCTTGTTTGATAAGTTCATCAAACATCAAAAATCTCGTCTTTGTTCATTTTCAGGAAGGATTATCAGAATAAGCCTTCATAATTAAGTGTATCACTACCATGATTTTCTTTCCTTTCTGCCTTCTCCTTGTCTCCACGTTCCAATTATCACTGATACCCTTTTTGATCCTTCTAAATCATATTTGCCTTTAGAACAAGCCTGAAATTAACAGCTGTAGGAAAAAAAAAAATAGTTCTGCCATCATAACACTGTAGCTTTAGGAAAAGTAACTTGTTTACTCTTCCTTCGAAGCTTAAGTGACGCTCCTATAGGTTAATAATTGTTCAGAGGAAAAGCTAGAGAAACAGGAATCTGGCTTGGATTGGAAACGGGTCAAATGCAAAATAATTACAGTGAGGAAAGTTATGAAAAATGTTCCCTTGTAAATTTTCCTGTGAAAAAGGGAATTAAATCCAAGTGACGAAAAATGATACGGCGACTTTAGTAAGGAAGTTTAAAGAAGGCTTAATTGTCATCTGTGAAAGAAAAACCATTGTGCAAGCAGTACATATAAGAAGGAATTACGATGCCGAGCTCGTGCTTGGAGAACAGCCAATATATATGTATATTTTCTTTTCCTGGTAGCTGTTTACAGAGAGAGCGGTGTGCACATGCCTCAAGTCGGGATGGAATTGATGGGCTGACTGACTGGCCCCTAATTCCTGTATGCAAAGCTGGATGGAAGCAAGCTTACCTCTGGGCAGGCACCGCCGCCGGCTCTCCGCATGCTGCAGCTGTGGCCCAACGTGCTGTTATAGACAGCGAGCATATAGTGAGAATCAAGGGAGAAACCTGGCACAGGCTCCACCACATTGTTTTTCCATATGTAAATGTTTGCTTTAAATTAGCTGCAAGCAAATTCTTGAGGCTTCAGGAGTCTGTGGGGCTGGTGCTGCTGGAAAAAGCCTGGAGCCCATCGAGCTCTGAAACGTGTTGGTAAATCATTGACAATGGCACTGACCAAATTGCAGAGAATTGGGATGTATCCCAGGGGCCTTTCTCCTTTTGGAAATACCCAACTTTATGATAAGGGAATATAGTGAACTGTCTGATAGTCAGTCAAGCCCTACTGGGGCAGGGTGTTTGCTGTTCAGTTCACTTGAAGGAGGAAACTCATTTCCAGTTTTGGTTCATCTACTCTGCCAAGGGAGAGGTTTCCCAGCATGGAGAATTGAAGGTTAATTCAGAATTATGTTATTAGTAGCATGTGCCATTTGGATACACCATTGTCTATTGAGCTTTTGCCTACTGCCATCCCCATAATGTATCATCTCATGTCCAAAGCTGATGGGGAGTTATCATAGAATCATAGAATGGCCTGGGTTAAGAAAGACCATAAAGATTCTTCTCAGTTTCAACCCCCCTGCTACGTGCAGGGTCACCAACGAGCAGACCAGGCTGCCCAGAGCCGCATCCAGCCTGGCCTTGAATGTCTCCAGGGATGGGGCATACACAACCTCCTTGGGCAACCTGTTCCAGTGCTTCACCACCCTCTGAGTGCAAAACTTCTTCCTGATATCTAACCTAAACCTCCCCTGTCTCAGTTTAAAACCATTCCCCCTTGTCCTATCCATCTGGACCAGAACAGCTTTTGGATGTTCTTATACAGGCACTGCAGCACAAGAGCCTAAATTTTTTTTAAAGTGATTTGGGGCAAGGGAGATGTTCCTTAAGGCTGAAATATGTGCTCTCCCAATTGCTGTGTGATCCCATCTGTCAACTAATGCTTGTAGCTGGTTGGTGTCTCAGCATGGAACTGGTGGATGTGCGTGTGCACAGGTATAAGACAGTAACACCACACGAAGCAGGGTTACTCATTATTAAGAAAACTGTCATAAGATAAGAGTATTTGGCTTTTATGTGTCAGAAGAAATTTAAAATTGCCATTGGAAAGCCTCTTGGTCATGCTCTAGCCCAAGTTGCCCCATACCTGTTGCCTCAAGGTTGCACATAGCTTTCAAAATTATCCTCTGAGGACTACTGGGCAGGCACAAAAAATACATAAGGAATCTGTAACATTATTAGATGTTAATAAAAATTAAAGTTTTCTATGGAGGCTTTAGTATTTGAACAAGCACCCATATCTCCCTGCTTTTCTTTTGCTTAAGTAGGCTGAGATACTTCATGCATAAATGAAGTGTTCCCAGCAGATGATTGCAAGCTTTAACTTCAATAAATTTGAGAGAAAGTGTAATTATTGTAGGAGAATCTGGTCTTGAGCTATTATAGCTATTAAGCAGACAGTGAATTGTCTTCTGCCCATGGAAGACTGGGAGAGAAGTGTCACTCTGTGTATTTCCCAAAATAATTGCAAAGCACATTTCAATAGCTGGCGTTGTAAATCATCAAAATAAAAGGACCTCTTACCGTGTTATTTTAATATAATTAGAGCTCAGAATGGTCCTGGGGCTTGTCTTCACTAAACAAGAAGAAATGTAGCACATGGGTAAACTGTGTAGTCAACTGCAATGAGAATTGCCTTTTTGTGACCTTCAAGAGTATGTTAATGTAATCCTTACTTGGTAAAGCACTTCTGATGAGTTCAGAAAGTCTTTGTCCTTTCTCTGCCTACACAGGAAGAACTCAAAGTTTTAGTCTTTATATCAAACCTAAATTGCTTTTGCTGGGAGAAAGGCGGGGGATTAAAACTGGCTAAGGTGTGCCCCACTGTTGTCTCCTTGTTCTACATTGCACCCTTTTGAGTCGCTAGGACAGGAGGACAGGGCAAGGTTTTAGCAGTACTTACAAAGTCAGGTGGGTTGGACCCCATTGTCCATCCTGTGCATCATCATCCATCCTGGCATTGGTCTGATCTTCCTTCCAAATTTCTGCCATCCTTCAATAGAGTGGGCTGACTTGCACCATCAAACTCCTCCCCATCACCCAGCAGGGCTGTTGGAGTGTTATATCTTTTCTGATACTGGCATCAGAAATAGGCCATATATATATAATATATAAAGAAAGTTATTAGTGGACTGTCTCCCAGATGAAATGCCAGGCTGCTTTGTGCAAGCAGGCACAGCAACAATTCCTCACTGGTGGTTGGAGGGGAGGCATTGGAGAGATTTAAGCTGCAAACAATGCAGTCCACATTAGAGGTGGAATTAAAGAACCGTTCCCAAAGGTGTTGTATTCCAAAAACTATATTATATGTATACATAAATTATAGATCCATTTACAACATTATGAATTCAGCTTGTCTAAAATGCATGTTGGGTTCCTGTCTCTGAGCCTGGATTAAAACTCGAAACCTCTGGCTTGCAGTGCTGGAAGTGCTGTTGATAGCTGCTCCATCATATTCAGGAGGATGGGAAATAGGGGATGGCAGCAGGCTGGGAGCTGCAGCACTGCAAGAGGAGTCAAAGGCAGGGTGAGCATGGCATCAGGCACTTCGTGGCCATTCCTGTTGCTGCAGAAAAACTCCACTACCAACATCTCCTCAGAAGACAAGCAACTTCTCATTTTAAATCCTCACGCACATAAAATCAGGGTCACATGAGCTCAGCATGTAGCTGGACATGCTGCCACACATCCCACACCCAGGATGCAGGAATGCATCATTTCCTTGCCAAACACAGTACGGGACTTTGATCCACTTCAGTGTATTAACTGCTGCAAGGGGAGTTAATTTCTGCCTGCAAAATGCATTGATCTGCTAAACAGCATCTGAACAGCACTTCTGGTGGTGTGTCTGTTTGCATGAGTCTGGCTCTAGGGCGGTTATATTACAAGAATTTTGTTGTTTAGTGATTTAGCACTTGTGCCTTCTAATGTGCAATGTTTTAGCTTTAATACATCCATACAATCATAGAATATTCTCATTTGGAGGGTGCCCACTCAGATCTGCTGAGCGGGATACAGATACTCAGAAGCATTAACATTTTCTATGCCAATATTCTATTTTTTGTAGGGCATTTTTCATGCAATACTGTAAATTCAAATAGGGTTGGTGACCATCAAATGACAGAGTCCTGCTTTATATTGTGGTGGGTGCCTCATCCCTGGAGACACCCAAGGCTGGGTGGGCTCTGAGCAACTGATGGAGCTGTAGGTGACCCTGTTCAGTGCAGGGCAGTTGAACTAGGTGGCCTTTAAGGGTCCCTTCCAACTCAATTCTATGATTCTGTCATTCTGTTCTGCACACTGTACTCAGTTCCCTGCTGTCATGCTTTAGGAGATGTGGCTATCACCTGCCACGTGCTGTTTGCTTTCATGTTTCCCTAGGCATGAGTGTGGAGCATCTTTTCTTTCAGAGTTCAGGTCTTCAGTTTTTCTTTAAATAGAGATTGTTGCAAGGTGAGGAGGTTACAGAGATGTTCAGTGAGGTGAGATCAAGAGATTGTGCCCAGGGATTGGAGCTCTGCCCTTGCAAGCCCTGCTGTTTCACACTGACTTTGGACTGGTGGTGAGGCAGTGCTTTGAGAGAGGCCAACAGTACTCTGTGTCACTGTGTGCTGGTGGAACAGGCATCCCAGTTACTGACCCAGTGGCTGTGAGATGTGTAGGAATGGTCCTTTTAAGGACCAGATGGCCACCATAGCCCCATTGCCAGCACTCGTGACTCTCAGTGGGTTTGGAGCCGCCAGCACGAGAGGCCTTAAACACAGGGATAAGTCTGTGACTTAGAGCACTTAAAAAGAAGCATGCACTGAAGTGTTTGTGGGATTGGAGACAACGGTAAAACTTGGGTGGATAAAAACCCTGGAACACGAGAAAACATTTACATTCACTTTTTGACTGCTATAGGTGAGCTTGCCACAGAACTTGAGAACGAGCCCCATGGACACATACATTGGTCTCAACTGAGCTGCACTTCATCCCATCCTGGAAAAGAAAGTGAGCTTTTTTTTGAACACAGGGATTGATAATACTGCATTTTTCTTCAATTTCTCATTGATGGCCGTGATGGAGGCACCAGCGGTCCTCTCTCCCCCTCTGCTGGAGCCCTGCGATAGCTGCTCCTGGCAGCAGGGCTGAGATTTGTGGGGAGGTCTTCCCAGGCACAGAATAAGGCCAAATCAGAACCAAAATTTCACCTTGTGAAATCCAGAAGTAAAAAAAAAAAAGGATTAGCCCAGGCCTGTATAAAGCACCAATAATGTATAGTGAGCTCTACTGGTCACAAAGGAGCTGAAAAGAAAGAAGGGGAAATGCATTTATTTGCTGAATGCTGAGCTCTCATCCCATGGACTGTTGTCTACCATGCTAATTGATTTACTGCAAAACAGAAATCCAAACCGTGAAATTCTAATTAAAAAAAAATATGACTTTAAGTTTCTTGTCCTGGGAAGATGCTCCAATTAGGCAGTGTTTGGTTGCAGGAAGGGATGTGGCAAAAGGGGAAGGGCTATCCAAGGGATTCATTGCATTTCCTCTGGTGTCCCAGGAAGACTGAGACTCCTGTTTTGCTGTCTCCAGATGTGTCTGCCTGGTTTCTTTATGCAAGCCCTGTCCTTTTCCCCAAGACACTGGCTCTGAAGTCACAACCTCCTCATTCCCCAGCACTGCTTTAATTTTGGGCCCCCATTGGGCAGCTCATAAATCCTCCCCAGCTCACTGTGCACAAAGCCACCATTCATTCTGAGCACTCTGTGACACCAAGTTGGGCCAGGGGGACTTCCCTGCCAGCACACAGCTCCGTGGGATCCCTCTTTCTTCCCTGAGACCACCATGCAGCAGCAGAGCTTTTCACATGGGGTAAGCAAGACTCACTCTTTGAGTCATATCTCCAATGACCAAGTACTTATTATTATTTTATTTTATTTTTTTCCCCAGTTCTCAGCAAAAAATGGCAGCGAGGCACTGGCACAGGT